ACTAAAGAAAGAGGGGGACGAACCAAGGAGGAACCAGGCGTGGTAGGACGAGCACACCACCTGCCGCACTCGTGACATGAAGTTCTGTGTGCGCTGGGGTACTGGGGTAGATGGGTGCCCCCCGCACACAAAGACCTTGGCCGCCGGCGCCTGGCCCGCGAGCGAAAGAGCCTCCGCCACCTGGGCTACCTGGGCATCCTCCGTGGTTGCTGCGGGGGCTTGCTGGTGCGACTTGCGCTTGGCACTGGCCGGTTTGTGCTCCATCCTCTTCTGTTGGTAGTTGATGCGAAAAGGTGGCAACAATAAAATAAATGTCAGAGGCAAATTTTAGTGACCACCCTTTTCCTCGAACTGAATTGAGGGCGGAGCGTCCGCCACCCTGAGTTCAACTCGGTCAAACCACACCGAACAACGTGCAACCACCAGTTCGAGGTGGGTTCGCCTCGGTGTGCTGCTCGGTTCACCTCCTGCATGGCCCCATTTTGGTGGGGCGTGTTCGAAGTGGTTCAAAATGAAATTTCGTCCATTTGACACGAGCGATTTTCGCGCTACTTATTTCTTACCCCTGCAGCTGCTTGTTGATTCAGTCATCTCTCCTTCATCAACAGCAGTTGCATCTGCATAGACTTCAAGCACCAGTAGTAGAACAAAGTATGAGTGCCACATCAGAGAATGCGGCCCAAGCGGAGAGGAGGAAGGAGAAGCAAAAGATCCAGGACGATGATGCGGAGGAAATGGGAGGGGAAGGCCAGGCAACGCTGCTGGCAAGCGACAGGACGCGGGCCATGCAGGACAGCTACTACCGACTCAAGCACATCCATATCTCCAAGAAGCAAACCATACCGCTTTTGTTGCAGAATGAAAACGGACCCTGCCCCCTTCTCGCCATCTGTACGGCCTCCCTTGATTTTTATTTTTATTTTTATCTTTTCAGGAATTATATTTTGATGCTCTTTCAATTAACTATGACATATCTTTCCGTACTATCTCAATAGGTAATATTTTGTTCTTGACCGGCAAGCTGCACGTGCACGCGGACTACGGCGGCATCAACAACAGCGACCTCCTCACCATGCTGAGTGACTACCTCTCGAGCCTCAAGCCACCAGTACGTGCAAAACGTGGTCGAGCAACTGGTTGTAGAAAGCGCATCTGACCGCTTGGTGCGGGCGTGTTTTGTGCTCTACGTGCAGCCGTTGATTGCGGCAGATAAGGGCCTCCTGGCCAACTACAAGCAGAACGTCAACGACGCGCTCAAGGTGCTGCCCAAGCTCTCTGCGGGTCTCGACATCAACGTCAAGTTCACCGGGTAAAGAGACACACACCTCAAACCTTGATCCAACAACATTCCCCGTTGCTCACTCGTTCATCTCCCCCCCCCACATTCAGAATCAAGGATATGGAGTTCACACAAGAGTGCATCATTTTCGACGTCCTCAACATGAACCTGGTGCGTACGCCTTTTACCGCTCTGTGTCGGTGGCGGGATCCTAAACCTGGCCCGTGCGTCTTTGTATGCCCGCTCGGCAACTAGGTTCACGGCTGGATTGTGGACCCGCAAGACGCCTCATGGAAGGTCGTTGCCAAATACTCCTACGATCAGCTCATGGAGAAGCTCGTCGAGAGGAACGCCCTCATCACCCGCAAATGCAAAGGTGCGCTTGTTCTCGCTGGTTGGCTCTGCCAGCAACTCTGTGCGTAGTCAAACTCACACATTGCGCTTTCCTCTACCCCGCGCGCACACGCATGACAGAAGAAAACAGGGACACGGACGAACTGGACCTCGACGTGGAAGCCACGCGGCTGCTGCCAAGCCTCAAAGGGGACGAGCGACGGGTCATGAAGGAGGGTATCGCCATCCAAGACTACTTCCTGCGCACTTCGACGCAGCTCACCTACCACGGCATCGTCATGCTTCATCAAGGTTTGATTTTCTACTCGCTTCCCTTCCCACATCGCCGACATTACCACCTGCTGACTCTTTCAACACCCAAACGGCCAGGTCTGCGAGAGGGTGAGTTTTGCGTGTTCTTCCGCAACAACCACTTCTCCGTGCTGCACAAGCACAACGGCTCGCTCTTCCTGCTGGTCACCGATGTGGGCTATCAGGATACGCCCGTCGTGTGGGAAAAGCTGGACCAGGTAATTCACTTTCTTTCTCTTAGCGCGTCAATCGTTGTGGCTCATCAATCGTGTCACGTCTTGAACAACAGATTGATGGTGATACCATCCTGGCGACGCACACCTTTAAGATCTACCAGAAGAGCGAGGAGCAGCACCTCATCCAGTCCGTGGCCGTCAGCGAGGCCCAGCCCGAAATCACACCCGAAAAGCTTCAGGAAGAGTACGATAGCCGCTCTCTCTCTCTCTCTCTTGTCAGGAAGAGAATCTGACCTTCGTCGCGTAAATGAGCAGGGATGACTTCCTGCTGGCGCAGCGATTGCAGGAGCGGGAGATGAGGCGCGAGAGCGCGCTGGCGCACTCGAGAGGTGGGGACGGCATGTCGCCGGCGCGGGCCAGAAAGCCAGCCAAGAACCGAGAGCCGCCGCCGCAGGCCAAGGCCATGCGCCAGTACCCGCGACCCAAGGCGCCCTCGCGAGGCGAGCAGGACACCGGTTGCGTCCTCAGCTAAGACGCGTACACTTGGCGTGCGTTCAATCATCGCGCGTTTTTATGTCCTACAACGAACACCACACTTTTGGGCCAATGATCTAGAGTTGCTTATGTTAATACAAATGTTGCTGTTGTACAACCGAGAATGTTACCAGTCTCCGAGTGGGTCCTTTCTCCTACCCCTGATGTTTCATGCAACGGGAAGGAGGGTCAGACTAAAAACAGAAGAGGAGGGCCAGTGGTTCGTCTTCTCTGTTGTAACACATATCCGAACAAATCAAATTCTTCATTTACGCAACAGCACGTTGCTTGCATTTGACTATTGTGTATTGCCCTGCCGCGCCTTGGCCTTTGTTTCCATGGTTGTGGCCATCGAGGCCTTTTGTGACCGTCGCTGTCGATGTTACGTATTTTTATGTCCGTTACAGGGGATCCCTTGTTCAGTCTGAGTCGGAGCGAGCCGAGCTGCTTCGTCTCCTCTTCTTGTGGTGGTGTCTTTCCTTCTTCTCTTTCTTGTCCTTCTTCTCTTTCTTGCGATCCTTCTCTCGCTTTCGCTTTTCCTTCTTCTCCTTCTTCT